TCTTTGCTCTTTGTATTTCATTGTGATTCAGTGTGTCTCAATTAAAATACCATTTCTCATGTCTGTAAGGGCTAATAAAATGCAAAAAACCATATACTGAATGCTTGCAGCGTTTTAGTCATGACACAAACTGCTTCACATGTATTAATCCTCATTTAATCCTCATATCAGCTCTATGACTCAGGTATTAACATTATCCACATATCACAGATAAGAAAAATACATCACAGAGAAATTATTTGACTTCTTTAAGTAACACAGATGAAGCTAGAACTTAAAGGTAGTCTGGTTCTAGAAACCATGCTGGCCCCAAAATAGCACACTGGAAAAGGTCATTAGGCACAAGTGACTTGCAAAATGTTCATGGATATTCCATGTTAATTAATCAGAAATTTAACAAAAAGTGCTTTTAAAAATTAGATTAAAATTTTTCAAATTTTATTTTTTACAAATAAAAAAGAGCCATAAGTGAATCACAGAAACAACACAGCAAATAATGTTTAAGACTTTCTTTGCTTCATGTAACTTTGTTATTTTTAAATAAAAGTAACTCACAAAATGTAGAAATAATTTAAAACACATAGCTTTAAAGAATATACAAGTGTAATTTAAAATAGGCAGAAAGAAAATTTTTCATTGGGAAAACCTAAGCTTATAGGGAAGACAAAATATTCATGGCTGGCTGGACGTGGTGGCTCATGCCTGTAATCCCAGCACTTTGGGAGGCCGAGGCGGGCGGATCACGAGGTCAGGAGATCGAGACCATCCTGGCTGATACAGTGAAACCCATCTCTACTAAAAATACAAAACATTAGCTGGGCGTGGTGGCGAGAGCCTGTGGTCCCAGCTACTCGGGAGGCTGAGGCAGGAGAATGGCGTGAATCCGGGAGGTGGAAGTTGCAGTGAGCTGAGATTGTACCACTGCACTGTAGCCTGGGCAACAGAGTGAGACTCTATCTAAAAAAAAAAAAAAAAATTCATGACCCTATCATCTCAGCCCAAAAGCTCCTGAAGCTGATTAGCAACTTCAGCAAAGTCTCAGGATACAAAATCAATGTGTAAAAATCACAAGCATTCCTATACACTAACAATGGACAAGCAGAGAGCCAAATCATGAATGAACTCCCATTTACAATTGCTACAAAGAGAATAAAATACCTAGGAATACTGCTAACAAGGGATGTGAAAGACCTCTTCAAGGAGAACTACAAACTACTGCTCAAGGCAATAAGAGAATACATAAACAAATGGAAAAACATTCTATCCTCTTGGATAGGAAGAATCTGATTCGTGAAAATGACCATGCTGCCCAAAGTAATTTATAGATTAAACACTATTTCCATCAAACTACCATTGAAATTCTTTGCAGACTTAGAAGAAACTACTTTAAATTTCATATAGAACGAAAAAAGAGCCCGTATAGCCGAGACAATCCTAAAGAAAAAGGACAAAGCTCGAGGCATAACGCTACCTGACTTCAATCTATACTACAATCTACAGCAACTAAAACAGCATGGTACTGGTACCAAAAGAGACATATAGGCCAATGGAACAGAACGGAGACCTCAGAAATAATACCACACATCTACAACCATTTGATCTTCAATAAACCTGACAAAAACAAGCAATGGGGAAAGGATTCCCTATTTGATAAACGGTACTGGGAAAACTGGCTAGCCACATGCAGAAAACTGACACTGAATGCCTTCCTTACACCTTATGCAAAAATTAACCCAAGATGGATTAAAGACTTAAATTTAAAACTCAAACACATAAAAGCCCCAGAAAAAAAAAACCTAGGCAATACCATTCAGGACATAAGCATGGGCAAAGACTTCATGACTAAAACATCAAAAGCAATCGTAACAAAAGCCAAAATTGACAAATGGGATCTAATTAAACTAAAGTGCTTCTACACAGCAAAAGAAACTATCATCAGAGTAAACACACAACCTACAGAATGGGAGAAAATTTTTGTAATTTAACTATCTGACAAAGGTCTAATGTCCAGAATCTACAAGAAGCTTAAACAAATTTACAAGAAAAAAAACACCCCATCAAAAAGTGGGCAAAGGATATGAAAAGACACTTCTCAAAAGAAGACATTTATGTAGCCAACAAACATATGAAAAAAAGCTCAAAGTCACTGATTATTAGAGAAATGCAAACCCGAACCACAATGAGATACCATCTTACACCAGTCAGAATGACAATTATTAAAAAGTCAAGGAGCAGTAGATGCTGGCAAGGCTGTGGAGAAATAGGAACACTTTTATACTATTGGTGGGAATGGAAATTAGTTCAACCATTGTGGAAGATAGTGTGGTGATTCCTCAGGGATCTAGAACCAGAAATACAATTTAACCCAGCAATCCCATTACTGGGTGTATACCCAAGGAATATAAATCATTCTGCCATAAAGACACATACACACATTTGTTTATTGCAGCACTATTTACAATAGCAAAGACATGGAACCAACCCAAATGCCCATCAATGATAGACTGGATAAAGAAAACATGGCACATACACACCATGGAATATTATGCAGCCATGAAAAGGAATCAGATCATGTCCTTTGCAGGGATATGGATGATGCTGGAAGCCATCATCCTCAGCAAACTAACACAGGAACAGAAAACCAAACACTACATGTTCTCATAAGTGAAAGTTGATCAGTGAGAACACATGGACACAGGGAGGGGACCAACACACACCAGGACTTTTGGGGGGTGTGGGACAAGGGGAGGGAGAACATTAAGAAACATATCTAATGCATGTGAGGCTTAAAAACCTAGATGTTGGTTTGATAGGTGCAGCAAACCACCATGGCACACGCATACTTATGTAACAAACCTGTGCACACGTATCCCAGAACTAAAGTAAAATAAAAAGAAAAAAAAAATCATCACCCTCTATTCTTTAGAACAATTTAATAAAATGTTGTTCCAATATAATCTTTAAATGCTAAGCATAGTTCATAATATTTTTTGATAAATCTATATATCAAAATGCTGGCAAACAAACATTTTGTTATCTGGCAATAAAAAAGAAAAACTTAAGCTTAAGTGTAAGAAATTTTCATTAAAGCAATTCTCCCTGTGTTATTGCTTTGTCTCTGTACTACTGTATGTAAGTCATTAACTTTTGGTGTCAAGTGGAAGAAATTCAATTCAAACCCAACTACACAGGCATAAAAGGGAAATGTTTTGGAAGGTTCATGTAATTTTAAAACATCATGGTGCAGCTGGTAGGACTTTCTTTTGATTTCACCTCTCTCTCTCTCTCTCTCTCTCCCCCCCCCCCCCCCCCCCTTCCTTTGCAGGCTTCTTTTTCTCAGACTGAATCCTTCCTTGTTTAGAGAACTTAGGTACTGGCAATTACTAAGCTTCACGAGTTTTGCAACTGAAGACATGAACACATTCTTTCTCTCATTCTACATTTTAAAATTTCTTAGAATGGCTATAATTGCTCCAGCTTAGTCCAGGTGCCAGTCCTTAAAACATCCAACTTTCTCCATGGTACTGGAGTCTATAATAACATAAATTATTTTATTCGTGTGACTGGGTGGCTGAGCGAAAAGCAGTGATGTGGTTTCCAGAAGAAGCTGGAGTTCTTGGCCGGGCGCTGTGGCTCACGCCTGTAATCCCAGCACTCTAAGAGGCGGAGGCAGGTGGATCACGAGGTCAAGAGATTGAGACCATCCTGACCAACATGGTGAAACCTCGTCTCTACTAAAAACACAAAATTAACTGGGCATGGTGGCATGCCTGTAGTCCCAGCTACTCGGGAGGCTGAGGCAGGAGAATTGCTTGAACCCGGGAGGCGGAGGTTGCAGTGAGCTGAGATCGCGCCACTGCACTCCAGCCTGATGACAGAGCGAGACTCTATCTCAAAAAAAAAAAAAAGAAAAGAAAAAAAAAGAAAAAGAAAAGAAAAGAAATAGGAGTTCAATAGAGATATTCAGTATCCTGCTATAATTTTTGGCACTACTCTTTGAAAAAAGACTCCATGTCTTAAATAACATATATGATCATTTCACACTAGTTAAAAGCATACCTGCTATATGTTAAAATTTATTTTACTATTAACTTCACGTTGTTTTGATCATTCTCATAGACTATGTAACATAGGGTATTCAATTATGCATTTAGCAGGCAAGATACATGGAGATATATGTGAGTTTTATAAAGAACTTTACAAATGTTCATGTAACCACAAAATAAATATGTTCTTTTAATATGCTTTAATTTTTTTTTACCAAATATTTATTTAGCCTGACAGCTTACTTCACTCTATTTCAGGTAATGAATGAAAGGGAAAAAATAAAGCCAAACACCTGCCTTCAAGTTGACTACCAGAGTTTGCTTGTTAAATTTATAGAACATTTAGGTTGAGCACTTGCCACCACGCCCGGCTAATTTTGTTTTAGTATTTTTAATAGAGATGCGATTTCACCATCTTAGCCAGGATGATCTCGATCTCCTGACCTCGTGATCCACCTGCCTTGGCCTCCCAAAGTGCTGAGATTACAGGTGTGAGCCACCGTGACCGGCCAAGCCCCTTCCACAGTTTATAGGCATCACATTTTTATCAAACTAAATTATTGTCCATTAGCTAACTCAGCCTCTAAGCAGACCACTGTTGATTACATTACTGTAGTAAGCTGACTTCTCTGGCTAATTTTGCCTTAGTAACTTCTCTCATATATAGAAATTTTTCCATGGTATTTTGCTTGGGGTCCCTTTTTCCTTTTCTCAGTTCATGTTTTCTTTTATTTATTGTGATCTTACAGAAACAGTTTGCATATCTGCTGGGTTCTAGTTCAAAATTAAAATTGCTTGGGGATTGGGGGTGTGGTGATAGAAAAGACAGATGTATTTTAAATATGCATCCTTATTTAGCTTTATTCTTTATTCCTTATGCAAAGAGCTGCTTCAAGGAGTCTATTTCAGTATTGCTAGAGGAAAATTAACCTTCTGACTTTCCTTTTTTTACAGAACTCCTGCTCATTACAATGATCACATTTTGTGAGTTTGATTATCTTCATGGAATCTATCAGGTAAGGGGCCAATGAGGTCATAATATCTGTTTTTAAATACTCTGGGAAAGAAGTTTTAAATACTCATATTTTAGAAATACTCATACGTTTCTAAAAAAGAGAGATTTGTCTCTATTCCCACATCTCTATTATAATCATTTTAATTTCTTAGTATATGTAATATCCTATGTTTAAAGCAGAAATGATCTTGAGTTGTAAATATTTTCATTAAAGCCCTTTCTCTAGTTTAAAAATATTTAGAATTTTTTGTACTTGACTAATTCTTACTTTTTGTTAGACAGCTTTTTCACTAAAATAGCCTTATCTAAAATTATATTAAGTGAGAATTTAAAACATTATCTGCATATTTTTTGAGAAAATATGAATTGTTAAAAATATGATTTTCCACATTGTGAAGGACTTCATAGAATCTTCCTCTTGTTAAGAGTTTTTGCCAGTTAAAGTAGTGCCCATTAACCAATAATTTTTTTTACAACTCTAGCAAATACAAAGCAAAATCCTTTGTTTTGAATTTGAGTAACTATGAACCATTCTATGCAAATGTTTCAGAATCACATAAACAAATATCATATATAGATGGACCTAAATATATACAATTTTTTTAAACAGCCAAGGTAAACGTCTCTATTTTTTCCCTTTATTGGAGAAAATGCTACTAGCCATGCCATATAGTCAAAAAAATCTGCCTTTAACAAAATTATGTTTGGAATATATTAGCAGCTCTGTGACAGATTTCATTAGTTTACAAGACTGTAATTCCATTTTTTCTTTAAAAAGCATAGCATCAGCAAAATACTCTCTGGTTTGCATCAATTTATATATTTAATTGAACCACCTGATTTTACAACAGCAAAATATTTTCACACAATCCACAACCCCCATTGAGGGGTAATAGATTTGTAAAGCCAAATGTGGGAGTCCCAATGTTTCTACCAGTTTCATTTAAATTTATGATTTAATTGGAATTATTGTAAGAAGAGGATTGTAGCAGTATCACAACAGGTAAACCTGGACCTCCAATGGTGATTCGATATTTGTTTTGTAAAAGCTGAAAGTCTAATGATATTGATGAAAATATTTAGCCTCTCTTATAAATTTTTTCAGTATCTCTACTTTTAGACATATTACCCATATACTTGGAATATGGCATGTTTCCAAGCAAAAGATTATTTCAACAATTCTCCTGGTTGTTTGCATATTTTATGTTTCTTGATTTTTAAATTGGATTTTTATATCAGGTTACTGAAGTTTTTTGTTATTGCCATAAACCTACTTTGATTGCTTATATTTTTTGTGTGCTATTATTTATGCTAGAAAGCACTACTGGAATGAGTGAAATAAAATTTAAATGTGTCACTGTCCTTTGCTGAAATAAAATTCTAATAAAGGCTGACAAAGTCAGGTTTGAATGTATATAGCCATATATAAAATATGCCAAATGGAAATATTGATCCTTTGTAGGTCTTTTGCTAGCTTTTGATTTTAAAAACTATGCATATATTAGAAATATAATGTTTAGCTTTACTTCCAGTTTTTAGTGGAAAAATGATAAAAAGTAACTGGTTTATTTGCAATTATTTTATTAATTAAGGTGTTATATTTTTAAAAACATAATGCCATAGATTTTTTTTTTTTTCAAATTTCACCCTTTTCTCATAGATGTGAGTCATTTTCTTTAGAAGGAAATAAATGTTAACTTACAACTTAAAATAAACCCTAGCACTTAAGATAAAATTCCAATGACATCTCAAACTTTCCCATCTTGCTGTCTAGGATGGTGGATATTGTGATTTCTACTTTATTACGGTAACTAAAGCCAAAAAAAAAAAGCACTGGGATACATTTCCTGGAGGGAAGAAAGCAGTTGTGTCTTCCATAGTTCTCCTGGCTCAAAATGGTCCTTTTAAAAGGAAAACAAAAGGGTTATAATCTGTCAAGTAAAGGGCACATTAAAATGATATGATATTCACTGCACATTTCATGTATCTTGTAATAATTCCAAATCTGCAAGATATTTCCTAATTCTCACAATGTAAGCCCAGAATCCCTTTTCAGAACCTCTCATTGTCCAATTCCCAATGGTGTGTTTCCATGCAATTTCGATCCAATCTAGCTAATTCCTTTCCAATCATGATGTTTGCTCAGCAGTTCTTTGAGGCTGAATTTACAAAAACAAAAATGCTTATTCAATTCTGATGGTTAATATTGAGTGTCAACTTGATTGGATTGAAGGAAGCGAAGTACTGTTCCTGGGTGTGTCTCTGAGGGTGATACCAAAGGAGATTAACGTTTGGACTGGGGGAGACAGACTCACCTTCAATCTGGGTGGACACGATCTAATCAGTTCCCAGCACAGCAAGAATAAAGCAGGCTGAATAATGTGGAAGGACTAGATTTGCTAAGCCTTCCAGCCTTCATCTTTCTCCCGTGCTCATGCTGCCTGTCCTTGAATATTGGACTTCAAGTTCTTCAGCTTTTGGACTCTTGGACCAGTGGTTTGCCAGGGGCTCTTGGGCCTTCACCCACAGACTAAACGCTCCACTATTGGCTTCCCTACTTTTGAGGATTTGAGACTCAGATTGGCTTCCCTGCTCCTCAGTTTGCAGATAGCCTATTGCGAGACTTCACCTTGCGATCCTGTGAGTCAATACTCGTTAATAAATTCCCTTTCACATGTATATCTATCCTATTATTCTGTCCCTTTAGAGAACCCTGACTAATACACCAGTTCACTTAAAATTTGAGTCGTTGTTTATGGCAATAATTAGGAAACACATTCAGAAGGGTTACTGACTTTTTTGACAGACGATTTTTTTCTTTGAAATTATGTCAGTAATACTTCATCAGGAGTTCCAATTTGATAAGGGTGGCTGCACAGCCCAAGCTCAAAGATGGGATAATTTTTCCATCGAAAGAACCATTATGAGCACCATCTGTCAAGGTCCTAACCCATTTATTTATTCAAGTGGAAGCCTGAGTTGCTTTATTACCTGTACCTGTTGCCACCCTTATAGTCTTCAGTGCTGAAACTGGAAGAAGCAAAATAAAGATTACAGTTTTTCTGAAAATTGAAGGGTAACTACTACTTTATTGATATAATTCATATGGAAATTTCACATTCTTCTTTAAGAACAATGATCTGTGCCTGCATAGAATGGGAATCTAGAGGAACACAACCATGTGCTTCCTGTTGGCTTGAAAAAGAAAAATATCTTGTTCCATCTACCTCATTTTACTCCACCAAAATTAGACTTTAAACAACAAATAAGAGTATTTAAAAAATAGTATTTCATTAAATATCACATCAAAGTGGAATTTGCTGTTAAAAAATAATGTAACCTGTACCTTCAGGTGTCATCTAATTTATGTCATTTTTCATTGTCTCTTTTCTAATCTTCACTGCCAAAATATATATACTTTCTCTCTAATTTCTTATAAGACTGTTTTACTTTTGTTCCCATACCATGTATCGACATACTTTTAAAAACGGTTCCTCCTTGCTCTTCTTACTTTGTTTAAATGGGAAAATTTCTTATACATGAGTAAATGGAAATTGAGTTAACCTGTGATCTGCCAAGGTCCGTTTTAAACATCATTACTCACTAAGTTGCACACATCAAAAAATGATTAAGTGTTTCATAAAAGGGACAATGGCATAAAAATGGGCGGAATAACAAAGTTGAGATTTATTCATTTTCTCTTCTAGCTCTAAATTTTAATTTCTGGACAAACACTGGCTATAGTATAAAGTTTAGAAGCACATGTTTCCAACAAATCAACTAAGAAATTATATCTCATTTGCCAAAACTAGAAACATTAACATCTCCTTATTCTTTGTGTTTTTGTTAGAAATAAAGAATGTAGGTGACTGGGGGAGGGGGGATAAATCAGTTATTTTATGGTTGTCATCTACTCTTTCTATTCAGGAAAGCGTAATTTCCTCCTGGAAGGAAACAGATTTTATGCCTCAGGCTGGACATAAATCAAACAGAAATGCTATAGCATAGACAGTAATTTTATAAACTATCATGTTGTGGAAAATAGAGTTAAGCTGTAATCTATGATGCAGTTACCATCCCTCTAAGGGATAATTGAGTAATGGGCAGGCAGCTCTGAAGAGCTTTTGGTGTTGTGATCTTTTGACACATCCAGAGAATGACTAGGCTCTTTTAGGTAAATGATTTGGGCAAGTTTTCACAGTGGCTTTTGTACTACAAATGTTGTTTAGCCAAGCCATGTATAGCTGTTTCTCAACATGAATAGATTTTAAAGCTATTTTTTAAAATAGTGTTTTCTCCCAAAGAACTTATCTTAAAAATATAATAGCTATTATATTAACAGTTCTGAAAACTGAGCCATTCCTTTAAAAAGTTTTACATTAAAAAGAAGAAAATTTTCATTACAAGTTTTTAGAACTAGAATAAATTTTATTGAAGTAGGATACATATGTAAAATTTCATAGGGTTTCTTAATATTATAGTTTAAAATGACATAAATCTAACAGGACATTATGAACCAGCTCTAGGAAAACTGATCAGTTGGGACAAACACTGGGATATTAAATCATTATTTTTAGCATTTAGCTTACATTTTTTATATTCAAAGAATCGTCACCTCTCAACTGCCCAGTATGCTCATGGCTTATAGTTTTAGCTTTTTGGATTGTTCCCTGCTTCCTGCCTTCTGGGTACTTCATGAAGTCATCAGGCATCTCCATCACAGCTAGTCAGAAGGGGAAAAAAATGGTGTGACTTTCAAGTCAGTCAATTTCATTCTTTATTCATAGTACTTTTTAATTTTTTTTAACAGACCAGTGGAGGATAGTTTGAAATCATTGTCTAACTCAGATATCACATTAACTTCCTCTGTCTCATTTATATTGGGTCACTTGAAATTATAAATATTATTCAATTTTGACAACTTGAACACAGAACATAGTTTTAAAGACATATTTTTGTGTTCAAAGTACACTGCATTTTAGGGAAGGCTTGGCAAATTTT